AGCCTCCCGCTGACCCACCCACCATTCTAACAGGTGTGTGTTTTTCTAAATGAAGAAAACAAAACAAAAGTCCAGTAGCCTTTGGTTAATATGCACTGACATCATTCAAACTTTTTTTAATTAATTAAATTTTTTCATTTATTTTACCTCCAAATTGCAGCTTCAAACTTGTATTTATTTCAATAACATGTATAGTCATTGTTGTTTAAACTGTCCAAGCTTTCCTTGGGGAATCCTAGAACTGCTGTCTTGGAAGTATATTCCTTTATATGGTCACTTCTTTATAAAATGACTTCTAGGCCACACTGATTAGATTTCTACAGACATGAAAGACCACCCTCCATGACTTTGTGTCACTTTTTAACTTCATTTCTTAGTTCTTTCATGTTTTACTTCATTCACACTTAATTATTTTCCCATTTTCACTATTTGTTATAAAATTATTCTGTGAATTTTGACCCTTTACCCCCCCTCATAATTTTCTACTCTTATTTTGAGTAGCCAGTGTAATCTTAGTCTTATTAAAAATTTCAGAGAGGGCTGGAAGGATGGCTCAGCAGGTGAAAACACTAGGTATGCAAGTCTCATGATCCCCTGTGATCCCACACAAAAAGCCAGAGGGAGTGTCACACATCTGTAGACCCAGCTCTCATATCGTGGAACTAGAGGAGGAGACAGCCCACCTGTCCTAGAGGGTGCAGCATGGAAATAGAAAGCAACAACAGAAAGACCTTACCTCAAAAACGTAAAAGGCAAGAACCAGCTCCGCCAAATTGTTCGCTGACATCTATATGTATGTGCTCTAGAATAAGCATCCCTCACAATGCATTTTCCCCATAAAGAGATTTCTTAATTCTTCTGATTTTGATGAGAAATAGTTTTTAGGGTTTTCCTATTTTGGTTGCTTGGACTTTCATTATCCTGGGGCCCTTGCTCTAGCCCACAAGATTTTTTGCTGGCATGTACAGTAGGCTGTAGTAATATTAATGACGGTTACCTCATGGGGGACTATGTTTAGCCTGGATCAGCCAGTCCCTTGCTGACCTTGGAAGATAAAGGCTGATTGTGATATGTCAACTAAGATCTTGTAGTTGTTCTTTATGGGTCAATTGCTAATGGTAAACAATGACTTTTCATTTCCTTGCTCATTCACAATCTGATGACCCCAAACTTGCCCCAAAGAATCAGTAGATAACTTGACTCCCCTGGGTCACAATTGGGTGCCAGTTAAACACTCACTTTAGAGCTAATTCTGTTTAGTGGGTTGGTCTATTCATCTTGGGCTTTATACTTTTGTTTTGCCTTGTTTCTAACCCACGTCTTGTGTTTCTGGAAACAGGGTGTTGGGAGGCATTAGGGCTGTTCAGATTCCCTTGTCAGTGCATGAGCTGGACTTGCCACTGAATTAGGATCACCCTTTCGATTGAGGGAATTTTCTTGTTGCTTCTGGAGTAGTCGTCTTTATTTGTAGCATAGCGTAAATATTCATATATATCTATTTCTCTGAAAAATTCTAGTAAAAGGGAAAATTATATCAAAATTCTGTGCTAAATGTGATTGCAAAGGAGAAAATGAATACACTCTATCACTTGAGTGTGTGCCTCTTATGGAAAGGGATTATTCTACAGTTCTTGGTCAATATAGTATAGTGTGCTGTAGAGTAGCACTGGGCACACAGCACTGAGCACAGAGCCCTGGGTACACAGCACTGGACACAGAGCCCTGGGTACACAGCACTGGGCACGAAGCTGTTGTCAAGTAAATTTTCTCTGCTGGATGAATCATTTTGGTCTAAGCTGTTGCCAGCCCCTAATGATCTAAATGGTATTTCTTGGCAACCAAGAAAGAAACTTCAGATCATTCCCAAGGTCAAATACACCAAGGCTAAGACACTAAGCCAAGTCACTACTTACTTAATTAAATTAGCGCCAACCTCATGAACTCATTGTGAAGATGAAGTAAGTGTTGCTCGTGGCCATCAGTACAGTGCCTCGGTGACAGAACTCCATCCTGAGGTTTATTCAAATTTGAGCTTGTATTTATACCCTACTTTTAATTAACTTTTTTTCAATGGGGTCTTAACATTTTTCTTTAATCCTGTCTTTTAGTGTCCAGGGACTTAACAAACAATTATTAAATGAGCACATGAAGTAGTAATGAATAAATAAATTTAATCACGTTTAAAACTACTCACGGATTCTTTCCATCTATATTAGAAATAGTAAGTTACAGGCAAGTTTCTGATTTGGTGGCATCAATATAGGTCATGAAATATCCCAGAATGATTTAATCTAAGATTAGGTGCAATTAGTAAGAAGTATCATCAAGGCAAAGGAGATTTTCCTTGTCTAAGTTTGCAGGCATTGATTGACAGTTAGCCAGTGATCTCCCCAGACTACTATTTAAATTCCCAAATAAAGCTGCCTGGGACAATGTCCTTGGTGATTGGTTCAGTAACTCTTGAAATATACAATATTTATGGCATATATTGGTATTTGTTTATTACGAAGGAATTTTAGCTACTTTTAGTAAAAAATATAGGTTGAACAATAAAATTGAACACCTCAGGAATCTGAGGCAAAAAAAATGCCTGTAAACAATGGTTACTTAAAGGACTTATAAAGGCGTCTATTATATTCCCTCATTTGATTTCATTGTGCTTCCATAAGTTCAGGCAATCTGAAATACACGATTTAAATATGTAAAATCGTTCACAGCAGCTGTGAGTACCTGCCTCAGTCAGACCACATCCTGCCACAGAGGAGGGAGGGGCTCCTGAGACCCCACCCCTGCCTGAGGCTCCACCCTGGCCTGAGGCTCTACAGGCAGTTCCTGGTTAATGGAGCAAAGAGAGACGTTTTCTTCAGTGGTGTAGTCGATGTAAGGTGTCCATGATCATCTGAGTAACCTCATACCCAGGGTCCTATAAACAGCCCTAATTAGACTCATTGTTTACAGAAATGTTTAAGAAGTAGAGGGTCGACTAGAAAGTAGGATAGAGAGGGAGGATAATGAGGGTGAATATAATCAAAATACATTGTATACATTCATGAAAATGTCATAATGAAACCCATTACTAAGCATTAATATAAAATTTAAATTACTTTCAGCTCCTATCTTATTTTATGGTTCTTTAGTTGTGGGGAAAGTGCGTTCCACATCAAAATTCAAGTGAATAGGATTAAAAGTGAATGTTATTTTGTTTGGAAGTGACATATAATGATTTCTGTTCTCATGCCTTTAGGAACATAAGTGAAAACATCTTGTGTGGTAGTCTGTTTGCTGAATGCCTCAGCACGTTGTCTCTAACAAAATGAGTTTAAGAAGAGTGACTTTCAGAATGCTGAACTTAAGCTTTCTGGAACTTTCTTCTGCTTCATTTTAGACTCTAACACTTTCTGCTTTGGTTCGTTTTATAATTCCTTTCTTTACATCTATTTATATATTTGTATCTACGATTGTTTTCCCTGCATGCATGTGTACCACTTGTGTGCCTGGTTCCTGGAGAAGTCAGAAGATAGGGAAGGATCCCTTGGACCCAGAGTTGTAAGACACCATGTGGGAACCGGGAACTGAACCTGGGTTGTCCACAGGGGCACCAAGTGCTCTAAACCTCTAAGCCATTGCTCTAGTCCCCTGTTTCATTCTTTTTAAAAGTTTATATGGGAAGAGGATTTTTTTCTGCTTTCTGAAAGATTTTACAGTGTTTGGTAGTGACTTAGACTACCAATGCTCTGCGACACTCTCTTCTCAGCTGCATGACCTGGGGGAGTCACTTAAGCTCTCTGTGCTTGTGTTTCCTCACGAATAAGATGAACACCCTTAAATTAACTTAGCAAATACTAGCCAGGGTCATTACTGTTATTACCACTGTTATTATTTCTTTCTTAAGGCAAATCTGAAAGTGTCTTGAATATTGTATAGAAAGAATATCAATATCTAAGACATGTACTGTTTTCACTTAATAACTTCACAACAGAACACAAATGAAATGTCTTAATTTTTACAAAGGTTTTCAAATTTTTTCACCTATTGGAATCACTCCAAGACATATGTGAACTTGACTGTGGTTTCATGTTCCAACTTATTTTTTGAAGGGACATATTTATTTTGAATTTTCACAGTTTTCAATAGACCGGGTTCATTATGATAATAGAATTTGACAAAAGTAATTGTAGTGAAATAAAAATAAATATGCTCTGGAAATGCCGCGTAGACCTTCTTCAGAAAAGTTCCTAGGACGCGGATGAGAAGAGCTGAGCGTCTGTGTGGTCCTGGGTCTGATACTCCCTCAGATTGCCCTGCCCTCCTCTCCCATCCGGCGTCTAACCCCACATCTCTGCACACCACAGCTTATTCTGAGGACTCACGGACAACGCCGTATACATTTATCTGTCTTTTCTCAGCTTTTGACAGAGTTCCTCAGTGATAACCCCATAGGTATCGAAAGGCCCAAAAACTAGCAGGGCGTGGTGACACTCATCCGCAGTCTGTGCATCCCGCATTCTGAAGCAGAAGGATCTAAGCAAATTGGACGCCAGCATGTGTTACTGAGCGAGACCCAGCCTCGAAACGTCAGCAAAACAGAACGACACAAAACAAAAAGGTCCAAGGGTAAAGGAAGGTCCTTGCAAGTCTCAGAAAGTTCTGGAAGTGGGGGCAGTGGTTCCTCTCATCTGCATCCCTGTCTTTCTATGCTGTGTAATTCACAACACGTGGTGCGGTTCGGATCATAACCCCTAGAGACAAGCCGATCTCCAGATGTTTCTGCCTTAACCCACTCAAACCCAGTTCTCTGGGTATTTTATTTTTACATCTTTTTCTTGTCCGACTCCTCCTCTTGCTGAATCACTGCGGTCACTTTTCTTGTGAGCATCTTCTTTTATGATAATCGCAGAGGGCTCCCGTAGCACCTGAATCCCCAGGCAGCCCGCCCTCCCCCAACTCACCACCTTGTCTTCTTCCTGTCAGGCATCTGCAGACTTCCTGTCTCCTCACGATGGTCCTTAATAGATAATGTCGCCTTTCCTCTCACTGACCGGGGTCAAAACTAGCAGAAAAGCCTCTTTCTTGTTTTCGTCCTCACTTCTTATATTCAATCCACAGACAACCAATCAGCTCTCCATTAAAGAGAACCTTCGAGATTTCCTTCCGGCTCACTCTCAAGCGACCTTGTAACACCACCACCTCCTTCCGGTCATCGTCTCTTTAGGAACCATGAAGTTGTCATCCAGTTGACCTCTTGAAAACATGTAAGCCAGATCATGACCCTTCTGCCATCAGCCCTTAGCGCGGTTCCCAGGCTGCCAGGAACTCTCTTCCATGCCTCATTTTCCTTGCCTTCTGACTTCCCAAACGTTTTCAAAACCTTCCAGACTTTTCGCTCACTGTTGTGTCCACCCCGTATTCTGTCCACTCGGGTGCAGTCCATCCATCCCCACTCAAATGCGATTCCCATGGAGAAGTCCCTCATCCACAATAAGCCAACTTCTTCATCTGACCCCAGTCCTGTCCCCCGAAGCAACTTGATGTTCACTGTGGGTGGTCCAGTCCCTCCGTCTAATCACCCCTTGACACTTCACTCTTACACAAACTTCATCAAGTCAAGGTCATCTTTGTCACTTTACCTCCACAGTCTCCGCACCCCAAATAGTGCCAATCAACAACCAAACCTTACTGACTTTGTGCTGTGCAAAGATCACTGACTAAATGAAACATTAAGGTCCTCATTGACTTTTTCTTAGATTTTACACTGAAAGTAACAGTTCACTTTCAGTACTTCCCAGGTGATATGTGTTGTATAGAGGACTTTGCGTTATTGGCCTCCTCTGACTGTGACTAAATGCTTGCAATAATCCACCTTACAGGTCACAAGTCTTGGGCTGTGGTCCCTTGGGCCCCATTGCTTTGGGCTGTGGCGCAGAGGATGCCAGGGTAAGATAGCTCTCTTCATCTCTTGGCAGCTAGAAAGTAAAAAAATAGAAGGGGCCCAGGTTTTTTTGTTTTGTTTTGTTTTGTTTTTCAAGACAGGGTTTCTCTGTATTGTTTTCGAGGCTGTCCTGGAACTCACTCTGTAGACTAGGCTGGCCTCGAACTCACAGAGATCTGCCTGCCTCTGCCTCCTGAGTGCTGGGATTAAAGGCGTGCGCCACCAACGCCCAGCTAGGGCCCAGGTTTTAACATTCCCTTCAAGGTATGTCTGCAGTGACCAGACTAATCCCACTAGGCCCTTATTCCCAAAGGTCTCACAGTCTCCAAACAGTGCTCCAACCTGGGGGGCCAGCCTTTACTACAAAGTGGTGTGGGAGGTTATTCAAGGTCCAGACCATGGCATTCTTAAAGCACATTATCTCATTTGAGTCTCATGGTAATTTTAAAGGAACTCTATGGGTACTTTTCAACTGTTGGAGATGTTAGTTATCTATTAGTATTCAGAATTTTAAAAATTGCTGATGTAGATGGCCTTATATTGTTGCATTTCTCAAACAAGCCTTTTCTCTTGGATGAAACTGGCTTTAGCCAGTCTGACCATTTGAAATAGGTTATTGGAAGGAAAAAACTTTCCCCCAGTGTTGAAAGGTAGAAGTTAAAGGTGTCCCCACCAAGGTTAGTGCCAGGAGAATATGAATGGAAGTCTTGGGTTCGCTGATGCCACACAAACAGCTTTCAATGGACTGTCAAGGCAGCACTAGGTGATCTGTTTTTATAAGCTCAGAGACCTTGCATTTTGAGTACACTGGATGTATACTACTCTAGTAAGAATAGAATAGGTGATCTCTTGAAGTGAAGTGAAGAGCCTTAGAACAAGAATTTTTAAAAGTGTGATTAGCTATGTCCATGAATTCCTATATCCCACATTCCTACATCACACAAGGGCAAATGTTCCTGCATTTCTTAAGCAAACCATGTAACATGAATATGACTCATTTTAAGAATTAAAAGTGTGTGTGTGTGTGTGTGTGTGTGAGAAAGAGAGAGAGAGAGAGAGAGAGAGAGAGAGAGAGAGAGAGAGAGAGAGAGAGAGAGAGAGAGAGAGAGAGAAGTGTTAGGGATCACCACCACCGGATCTCTTACACATGGCAGGCAAGTGTTCTACCAAACTGATTAATTGTGAGGCTAGAGAGATGAGTCATCCTTTAAGAACACTTGGTTGTTCTTACAGAGGACCTGATTTCAGTTCCCAGTACCTACATGGTGACTTACAACTACCCGTAACTCCAGTTTCAGGGGATTCAATGTCCTCTTCTGATCTCTTCAGGTATTCAAGAGCACCAGGCACATACACGCAAAAGGGCAACACACACACACGCGCGCACACACACACACACACACACACACCAAATGTGTTGAAAATAAAAGTTCTCTATAAAGATCATGTTATAGCTAAAAGTCTTCCACCAACATGTGCATCTTGGAAGCTTTGTATCAGAAATGAGGGAAGGCTTTCAATATGTCTAGCTAGACACTGGAGAGTTGATATAGGCTATTGAGAAGTGGGACCCTCCTGGACATGTTGCTTCAGAGTTACCTTTGAACATGGCCTGGCCATACTGTGTAAGCTTAGTGTCTTGAAGTCATCAGAGAGTGGATCAGGGAGGCTTCTGATCAGGAACCTTTACCAGCTTGTGGCAGCACCTAAAACTCCCTCGGAGGCTGTAGAGGTGGAAGCCACCAGACACTCTCAAGAAAGACACACCCTTTCTGCTTATTCCTCTCTCTTATCCATGTATATTTTGGTTTGCAGGTTCCCCCACCATGCCCTTGGCAATATATGCTCATCCTGTGTCAATTTCTTAGGAATTCCTTAAGATTTATGTCCCATGGTGGCACACAAAACTCGGCACAGCCAAGTTTCTTTAGCTACTTTGTTATCTCTTTTCTGTTGTGTTGATAGTAAGTGACAGGAAAATGAACTAAGTATTTTTGCCGAAGAGGTAAGAAACAAAACAAAACAAAACCACCAAAGATTTCTAATGAGATTCATTCATATGTCTAGCATTGTGACATAGATCTTCATTAGATTTTATAGGTTAAATATGTTAAGTATGCCTTCTGTATTAATTAATGCATACAAAGTGCATACATATAACTGAATTATTAACATCGATCTGGTTGTTTATTCTTTGCCTGCATCTGGGCTACCTGGAACTGACACTGACCCTTGGTCAGTCCCCAGGATGTGGTTCTAGCATGCTCTTTATGCTAGGGATGGGTGATTTTGCTGGTTATACCTAAAGCAATGGGCCACACCATGCCAGGCTCTCAGGTTGTATTGCAATACATGAGCATTAAGTTTAACAGCATGAGTGTGTTTCATGGTCCAGTTATGAGTTTCAGTTACCGTGACTGGTTGGGTAGCAGAGTATGTCTTCATGGTCAATGCCCCACGAAAGCCACTGATCCTGACATTTGAGCAGATTTCTCTGGGAATAAACAGTTTCCATGTGTTAAGAGCACTGGCTATTTTTCTAGAAGACATGGATTCAGTTCCCAGCACCCACATGTTAGCTCGAAGTCATTTGTAGCTCCAGTTCCAGGGAATCTAAAGCTCTCTTTTGGCCTCCCAGGGCACCAAGGCATGCACGTGGTACCCAGACGTATATGCAAACAAAACACCCACACATATAAAATAAACCAATACAATTAAAAACAATTGAAAAAGAAGAGAGTTTGAAAGTTCTTGTATACTGTTAGCAATTGTATGCCAAAATCCTGCCAGGCAGGACTGCCAGGCAACCCAATAGGAGGAAAAGACTCTGCAGGCCCCAGGGTTGCCCCTTCAGTCTCTGTGAACCCATGTGTTCCCTGCTTAGTTGATTCAATGGCCATGTTCTCCTAGTGTCCTCTGTTACTTCTGACTCCTACAATCTTTCTTTCATCCCCTTTTCTGGGGGTTTCTCCAGGGGTGGATGGGACGGGATGGAGATCTCCAATTTAGACTCTCTCTCCACATAATGTCTGGCGTGGGTCTTTGCATCAACTCCCATCTGCTGTCAGAGGAAGCCTCTCTGATGGAGACTGGACAAGTCACTGATCTATGAGTATAGCAGAATATTATCACGAACCCTTCCTTCCTTCTCCCTCCCTCCCTCCCTCCCTCCCTCCCTCCCTTCCTTCCTTCTCCCTCCCTTCTCCCTCCCTCCCTTCTCCCTCCCTCCCTCCCTTCCTTCCTTCCTTCCTTCCTTCTCCCTTCCTTCCTTCTTTCCTTCATTTCTTTCCATCATCTTTGGTTCTACCCTAGATCTCTGGGCTGTCCAGTCCCAGGTTGCTGACTGTCCAGGAAATGTAGGGCATGGGCTCCCTCTCATGGCATGGACCTCAAGATACAAAGACAGTTTCCAACAGTAATACTGTATTGTTTCATTCATTATTTTTTTTCTGAGATTCGAGGTCTGATTATTTATTTGTTACTCTTAAAGAATTGTTTTTGATAATTATTCTTAAAGAATTAATTCCTAAGGGATTATTTTGATTCAGACTTAGCAATTCTCAGAGCAGACAGCCTGTGTTTCTCAGCCGTCTGTTCCTGGCATGTTTCTTTGGCTTCTTTTAGTCTCCTGGCCAGAAGCTTAGCACATTCTGCAGCCTCCCCCTTGTTTTTCTTAGTGTGTTGTTTCTTTAGAGCAGTACATTGACATGGTGTTGCAGGTCATGTGGAGTAACAAGATGCTTTGGTCCTAAGCATCTCACCTTCTTTGTTTAAGGACTGTGTGACAGCATATCAATGGGCATCGTCTTCTTTAGAGAGGTTGAAAACCTTTCAGATTCTGCTAGCTCTTTTAGGCCCCAGTCTAGGAATATTGTTGTATTTATTGAATGATCGATTGATTGCTTATCTATCTATCTATTTATTTACTTATTTTATGAAACCCCAAATCAAGAACACTTGGATTGGTATCCACGATGCATCTATGAATGGACTTGTACTTCCTTGTCTCCATTTCTTGGTTTGTAACAAGAATGTTCCACATTCAATATGAGGGTTGCTCTGCCGTAGATCAAGATGTCTTGCTTCATGAGAAAACCTTGCTTGTCCTTCCCACCACTGATTTGGACCACATAACCCTTCCACTCTTCACTGGAACATCAGCAGCTGCTGTTGTGGCCATGTGCTTCTCATAGGAAGTATGAAAACTGAGTTCATCATCCACTTCAATGAGTTTCTGACAGCCAGTGCCCGGGAGGGAGATATCCAGCTCCATCTTGACAGCCGGCAGTCTAGGAGACATCACAGAAAAAGAGCTGCTGTTTAATTGACAAAGTCACATGCCTGATTTAGAACACTGTTTGTTGAGTTTGCATCATCCAGATTTGGTCACTGAGCTCTGTGGAATCCAGTTCCGCATGAAGGCAAAGGGAAACATTCTGATCCACCAGTCCCTTGAAGTTTCCATTTGCTGAAATTAGTAGCTGAAATACTTCAATTTTTGCTAGTTTGAAAGGATGGCAGTTGGTGAGTCTCATCACCTAGGTTTCTCTTTTGGGTGGATCCCACAGTGGATCTGGGGGCTTCTAAAGCTGAAGTTACTCATTAGAAGGCATCAGGAATGATGGACAGTCTATGACTAAACATCCTGGGAGGTTTGGTTAGCCTTTGTATTGCTGCAAACCAACTGGCCTGTAAAATGACCAGATTACTACTCTGCAAGACAAAGGAGCCATATGCAATATCCCAGGAGACAGGAGGCTGCCTGGAGATGGATCCTGTGTGGGCAAGTTTTAAGGGTATGTGACTTCAGCGGCCATTTTGGATGTGCTAGCCCTGTTGAGTCTCCAGAGAACTCTTCAGGCCCAGCAATCACCCGGCAGGAGGGATTTGCCTAAAGAACGAACCAGGTGATGCTCTTCATCACCCACAGAACTGAGACTCATCAAGTTGTTGGGATAGAGATAGCAAAAAACATTTTTTTGTTTGTTTTGGTTTTTCGAGACAGGGTTTCTGTTGCTTTGGAGCCTATCCTGGAACTAGCTCTTGTAGATCAGGCTGGTCTCAATCTCACAGAGATATGCCTGCCTCTGCCTCCCAAGTGCTGGGATTAAAGGTGTGCACCACCACTGCCCAGCTGCAAAACTCGTTTTTAAAAGTATGGCAATAGATAAGACTCTAAGCTCAATAGCTTGTCCATATAAAATGGCTTTGAGGAGTCCCATCATTGCAATACCTTATAGTTGCACTGGTTATTTTAATATTGCTTGACCAGCAAGGCCATTGTGACCAAGTTTTCCCCTACTGCGTCCCATTGTCTGCTCCATGTTTACCATATTCCCAATGGTGACTCTACTGCATTCGTTCAGGGACTTCTTTGGACTATAATCTACCTAACATATCACCATCAATTTAATTTCCCTAAGGCCAAGTTCTGATCTTGTCATCCATACCTCAAAGTTATTTAATGAGTTTCCAGACTTAGGAAAGCAACTCGAAAATGTAGCTGAACATCAGAATCAACTGGAGGGGTTTAAAAATTCATCTTTTAGAAATTCTAATGCCCCAGCTCCACTCCAATTTAATTAAATAAGAAGTGTGGACTGGCAAAGAGTGGGTGGAATAAGAGGCAGGCATCAGTAGTTTTTCATTCTTTCTGGACAAGGCCAATGTGAAGCCAAGGTTGGGATGCTAGCACAGGAAGAGCAGTTAATTACTGGACCATTAACCCTGTCTGTATCTCTCTGTGGGTGACTATGGAAGCCTGTATCTGCTTTCCTTCTATCTCAAGCCGGGAGATGATTGGGGATTGGGCCCAGATATACCCTCTTTCTCTAAAGGCCATAGAGAAGCTGGGAGTGATGGCCTACACCTATAATCCAATCCACACACTCAGGAAATGGAGGCAGGAGAATCAGTTCAAGGTCATCTTCTACTATACTGTGAGTTCCAAGCTATCCTGGGCAACATGTGATTCGGTCACCAACTAACATAAACAAACAAGAGGAACCACAAATGGGCACAGGACTTAACTCTCACTTTCTGATGACCTCTAACCTACGCTAATTAGAAACAACATGATTCAATCAAAATAAAATGCTTCTTGATTGAGGCAATATAATTAGCAGCGAATCGGGAACAAATATAAAAGTGACAGACATTATAGTCAACACTGATGCCCTTACTTTCAGAAATTGAGGTAGAACTAGATGCTTATAATTTCCCTGGCTCACTGTCTATACATCACTGGAGCATCCCCCCCCCCCTGTAAGACAAGGCCTTTTTTTCCACTTCCTAGGGAAATGGTTCTGTCTCAGAAGATCCACCATGGCAGGTAACTTACCTAGGACTACATCCTCAGAGAGGAGGGTAGGGTTTGCTTCAAACTATACTCAGAAGTACACTCAATAATTACTGGATAAATAAGAATATACAATTTCTGGTTAATAACTTGAGGTCCCACACTCCCACATACTCCCTTCCTTTCCTCGTCATTCATACATAAAAAGTCACCCATCTTCAAACCCCAGGTGGAGCTGGTCACTCTCTTACCATCAATGCTCTCACTGCCACTGATGTTCCTGTGAAACATGGGCCTGTGTTAGAGCATACACCCTTATGGCCTGATTGGAATTATTACTCTATAGGCCATGGCTAGGTCCCAGCTTTGGGTTCTGCAAGGGAAGCCCTAAAAATGTACCACAAACTGAATGGTTTAGGGAATCAGAAATTAATTCTCATAGATCTGGAGGTTCAGCTTCTGAAACCCAGAAGTGACAGTCCAGGCTTCCTCTGATCTGTAAGGAAGAATTTGCCCCATGCCTGGGAACTGCTTGACTTGTGTCAGCAAAAATCCAATCTTCACATGGCAGTGTTCCTGTGTGTGTGTGTGTGTCTATCTGCAATGTCCCTATGTGTGTGTGTGTGTATCTGCACTGTTCCTTTGTGTGTGTGTGTATCTTCAGTGTTCCTATGTGTGTGTGTATCTGCAATGTTCCTGTGTGTGTGTGTGTGTGTGTGTGCATCTGCACTGTTCCTCTGTGTGTGTGTGTGTGTGTATCTTCAGTGTTCCTATGTGTGTGTGTATCTGCAATGTTCCTCTGTGTGTGTGTGTGTGTGTGTGTATCTGCAATGTCCCTGTGTATGTGTGTATCTTCAATGTTCCTGTGTGTGTGTATGTGTGTATCTGCACTGTTCCTCTGTGTGTGTGTGTGTGTGTATCTTCAGTGTTCCTATGTGTGTGTGTATCTGCAATGTCCCTGTGTGTGGGTGTATCTGCAATGTTCCTGTGTGTGTGTGTATCTGCAATGTTCCTGTGTGTGTGTGTGTGTGTGTGTGTGTGTGTATCTGCACTGTTCCTCTGTGTGTGTGTATCTTCAGTGTTCCTATGTGTGTGTGTGTGTATCTGCAATGTTCCTCTGTGTGTGTATATCTGCACTGTTCCTCTGTGTGTGTGTGTGTGTGTGTGTATCTTCAGTGTTCCTATGTGTGTGTGTGTATCTGCAATGTTCCTCTGTGTGTGTGTGTATCTGCACTGTTCCTTTGTGTGTGTGTGTGTGTGTGTATCTTCAGTGTTCCTATGTGTGTGTGTATATCTGCAATGTTCCTCTCTGTGTGTGTGTGTGTGTATCTGCAATGTTCCTCTGTGTGTGTGTGTGTGTGTGTGTCTTCAGTGTTCCTGGGTTTGTCTGTCTCCATCTGTATTGAGTTATAGGTCTGCCCACTTTAGCATGACTTCAACTAGTTATGTATAAAATCACTCCATTAACTAATAGGGTCCTATTTTTGGTATTAGGTGTTAGAACTTTAGTATATTGCCCTGGGGTGATGCGATTCACCTCACACAGGCTCTAAGGCATATCATAGAGCCATTGTCTTGTTAAGCATCCTAAAGTCCAGAGGGGCTGCCAAAACTTATCCACAGCTCTCTTGGTCCCACTGCTGTGACTAGGCAAACTTTCCCTAAAATGTTTACTCCTATGTGGGACCCCTGCTAACCATCCCATACAGGTGCCATGTGTCTACGTTGAGAAGTAACCTTCGCTTATGGTCTGACTCGAGGGAGCAGCTGTCCTCCTTTTGTGTTTCCAAAGCTGTTGATTTCACTTTGTGTGTTGTTCCACACGCTATGAAGTACCTGCACCCGCCCAATCAAACGTCCCAGCCATGGAACTGCAGGAAATTGCTTATCAACGAGCATAGGGTTCAAGCCAGCCATAACTAGAGATGTTTTTTCCTCTCTCTACATAGGAGTAACGTCCTGGGGCCTTGAGAGAAGACTTGGCTGTTGAGACCATTGGCTGCTCTTCCAGAGGACCTCCGTTCCACTCCCAGCACCCACATGGTGGCTCATAAGCATGTCCTAAAGGATCTGGCGCCCTCTTTTGGTCACCATAGGAACTGCATGAATACAGTGCACAAACATATGTATAGGCAACAAAATAACATGTAAAAACTACATTTAACATTAGAAATCAGAACTATATCTACATATCTGAGAGCAGAGGTCAGGGTTAGAGAAAGACTGGCCTCTTGGCCTCATTTAAAGCCTCTGGACCAAAGCTGTTTGACTACCTCTCTGGGCAGTCATATTTCTGTTTTCTTTGATCTCCCTCCTAGTTAAACTAGTTGTGTTAGGTTTCTAAAGATGATTGAAAGAAAAAAATGAGAATGAATGAGTGAATTCCTGGCAACCTAGGACCACATCTCACCTCCTGCCTTCCCTTATCTACCGCAGGCCTCCTGAAAGGATGCTAAGTTGGTGGTGACCTGACATTTCTGTAAAGAAACTAGTCTCTACTAACTACCCCTAAACCTGCTCTGGTGCTGTAGTCATCAAAAACAGAGTGACGGGAGAATTGTGGACACTAAGAATACTGGGAAAGATGAACAGTCTTTAGAGTAAGCAGAGACTGCCTACATGTCACATGTAAAATTCAAACACAAAATTTCTTGGAAATATTCACTTGGCCTAAGAAGGTTTAATGGGTTTAATAGTAGAAGATAAAATTGATTATGAATTAGCATTTTTTGCTTTTATTTATTTGTTTTTTTTTTCTTTTATGTCACCTTGACTGGCCTGGTATAGACCAGGTTGGCCTCAAATTCACTTCATGCCTTGCCTCCCGAGTGCTGAGATTAAAGGTGTGCACCACCACACCCAGCCTATAAAATCTCTTTTTTAGTCAGGTGGTGGTGGCACACACCTTTAATCCCAGCACTCGGGAGTCAGAGGCAGGTGGATCTCTGTGAGTTCAAGGCCGGGCTGGACCAACAGCCTCCAAAACAATACAGAGAAACCCTGTCTTGCAAAACCAAAAAAAAATCTTTTTTTTAAAATTGTTGTTCATTTAAACTAGGGTTTTGTGTAGCCTTGACGGCCTTGATCTCCAGCCTCATGCCTCCTCCCAAGTGTTTACTACAACAAATGGCTAAGATTGTCATTGAGAAATAAAAATGACACACAAGAACAAATATCTTATTAAAGAGAGTCAATAGCTCAGAAACGTTCCATTTAAAATTATAGCATTTCAGTCATACAAAAAATTCCTCTTCGGACCTCAGGAGAAATCAGAGAATGGGGGAAAAAGAACATGAGAAGCAGGAAATATGAGACCCCAAAGCCGATGTGACAGAAGATACTGCCTGAGCTTTGGAATTAGAATTGAGTTGAACTCTTAGTTCTATGACCTGAAGCCAGCTATTTAATCTTTTGGAGACACTTCTCATCAGCAAAATGCCTTTTATTTTTTTAGGTTATGACAATGAAAGATGAATGCATTTAAAATGTGCATTGTCGTAGCTACATAATTAAAAACAGCGGGCACTGGGGGCTGGAGAGATGACTCAGCAGTTAGGAGCACTTACTTCTCTTGCACAGGACCCAAGTGCGGATCCCAGCATCCGAGTCAGGTGGCTCACAGCTGCCTAACTCCAGCTCCAGGATTCAGGAGGTCGAGGAGATAAAGCAGATTCTAGTCTCTGGCTTCCCCAGCCACCTGCACCGGTGAGCACATGTCCACCCTCAGGCAACACATGTGCACGCAAATCTTTAAAAAGCATTATTTCTTGCAAAGACAGAATGCTCGTATCCAAATATAACAGAATTGACCATTTTAGGTGCTAAGACTTCAGCAGGGAATCGGTGATGACTGCTGAGATCTAAACAAATGAAAGCCTTACATTTATGGAATAAATTAGGTCGCCATGTAACTAACGTCTTAAATTAGTGCAACACGAGTTGACTCAGTGCGGAGGACCGTTAAAGATTCATAGTATACAAGTCATTTCTTTGTGCAATCCCAACACCAGGAGTCACACACAGCAGCTGTCCTTTATCTTTAGAAAGCTGCTTCACACCAAAGCCTGGCATGGGCAGAACTCTGTAACAGATGGCAACATACTTAGTCAACCGGCCTTTCTTTTAGGATGCCCAGATGGGAGACATACAAAAATGAACACTGTGATGACATAGAAGTTGCGAGGTACAGAGGGGATTGCGAAAGCAGAAACCAAGAGGCTTAAAGTCCGGGAGTAGAACGACTTCGGCGTCTCAGAAGTGGCAGGGTAGTCAGTAACCAGAGCAGCAGCAGGTGGAGTCCCTGCTGACGTCAAAGGCTGGGCTGGGTGAGACTGACCAGCTCCTGTGGGGGCATCTTCTGTGCTTTCAGCCTTTGTCACAAAGGTTGCTTGGCCACTCTGCGCCCCCTGGTGGCTTTTTTCTTTCTGGATGCATAACCGTTACAAGGCTGTGGCTGTGGCTGAGCTGTGGCTGTGGCTGTGGCTGTGACTGTATCTCTGTCTCTGTCTCCTCTCTCTTCTTACCGTATCCTGACAACAAACCTAAGAGTAGAGGCTATTTTCAGTGTGCCTCTCTCTGCCTTTAGCATATTGGAAGAGTTGTAGTAATGCATTCTCCAGGGAGAAAGAGAGGCATTTAGGTGAAATGTTGTGTGACATCCACGACTCTTCCCTGTAAACACAGGAGAGCTTCCCCACCAAACCCCAGCTCCACAAAACCACGCCAAGTCCCACCACTCAGGTTTCCCACTGTCCCTAAGCAGTGGTCCTTACTCTGAGTAACAATAACACAGTTTAGTGGCCAACACTCCTAGACTCATGATTTCATTTCGTTTTCATGATTATTTTAAAAAGTTCTAGGGATCACTAACCTCACGCCTAGAGCTCCAGTACTTGGGAAGCAGAGGCAAGAGATTGCTACAGGTTCAAGGCCAGCCTGGTCTACACTGTGACCCCAAGACCCTGTCTCAAAATGACAAGAAATCCAGGGAGTAAAACAACAAGCAGATTCAAGACTGAGTGAGGTATGATTGCACTATTGGGATGTGCCAAGGATGGGTTCCTGTTTCCTAAGCTAGGCAGTCTAGTGAACACTCAGGGATGGAAGGAAACAGAGGAATATCCGGCAAGAGAACCTGGAGGATGGACCAGCCAAATGGTGACAGGACACATCTCAGACCTCTTTTCATAAATTCATCCAGAGGAGTCGCAGAATCTCAGTCCTGAAAATGGACACACATCCCAATTGCCTTCAGGTCTGAGGAGTCTCCAGTCTAATATTGACTCCACCTTCTTCAGCTGTCAGAATTATTTTCATTGTAAATTTTGAGATACTGCTTAGCTAACAAATCAATGAAACATAGTCTTCTTTATGACTAGCCCAGAACATCATATTTGGGGAAAAATCCCTTTTAGAAGTGTCCTGTAAGTTTAAGTGATCTAAGCTTGGCCCTTATTGAATGAAGTACAGATTAATCAGAGCTGAGTTTCTTAAGCGTTTCAGTGCATGTTTCTTCAGACTGAATGGATGAGGCTGTTGCATTTTCAGTAAGGGGGTTGCTTAGCCAGCGGGGGTTGCCACAAGCAAAGTACTTCAGACTAAATAGCTTATGAGCATCAGGCACATATATTTCTTAGTTCTAGAGTCTAGAAGTCTGAGACTGGGGTGCCAACATGGGTAGGTCCTGATGACAACTTCTTCAGGGTTCACATATTTCTTGTACCCTCCAAGTGTGTGTGTGTGGCGGGTAAACTAGTGCCTTTCCTACAGGGGATACTCGTTCCATTCATGAAGGCTTTCCTTTCATAAGCCAATTACCTCCTAAATGACCCATCACTAGATGTCATCACACTAAAGAGTACATTTCAAGATATGAATGGGGGGGTGAAAACATCAGACCAAAGCAGAGGTGATGATACTGTTACCAACTTGTCTTCCATAGGAGATTGCAACCAGATGCAAGCACATCTGGCTATATGCAACATTTACTTGTGCCTCCTTGAACTCACCCTACATTTACAAAGACAAAGTTTCAAAGGGTTTAAATAACAGGTTGAAATAAAAAGGATGATTTTACAAGAGGCTAAGCAAGTTTCATGTAAGGAAAGCAGAGGCTGGGGAGGTGGTTGTTGGTGTGCTTGATCATTTGTCCATTTCCGTAGAATCACAAGTCACTGCCTATGTCTGTCTCACAAAGTAAAACGCTGAAGCAGCTCCTTTCACCACGACTCTTTACTCTGATGCCCCAGCTGTTACCACAGAATTCCTTTCTCTCTTCAGTAAACCAAACCCATCCTGTGGATTGCCCAAAGGTAAACTTTCCTACCATACTAATTTTATCATCATGGCTCTGCTCAAGAACTCTCAGAGCTTCCTATGACATCAAAGGACTTCTAGGTTCACCCTTTGAATACCTTTGCAAGTTTTCCCCTGGTTATCTAGCCCATAGCTCCCAGTGCTCTCATGGCTCTCATATGGGCAGTTTTCTTTTCTTTTTTCTCTTCCTTCCTTCCTTCCTTCCTTCCTTTCTTTCTTTCTTTCTTTCTTTCTTTCAGTTTTTGGCTTTTCAAGACAGGGTTTATCTGTGTGACAGTTCTGGCTATCCTGGATCTTACTTTGTAGACTGAGTTGGTCTTGAACTCACTGAGATCACTGCCTTTGCCTCCCAAGTGCTGGGATTAAAGGTGTGAGCCACCACGGCTGTCTACAGTTTTCCTTTTCATGTGTGATGATGTATCGGTCTGGCGCTGATACTTACGTTTTCTGTTTGGAGATCTACTCTTCTGAACAGAATTGACAGGTGTGCAATGATCATACCCAGCTCTTTCCTGTCCCGCACAGGTAGTGTACAGCTTGTAGCACCTGGGCCACAAGCAAGTCCGAGGTATCAGGAAAAGAAAGACAACACATCCAGCTGTTTGTACTAAGAGAATGCATGTACTGCATTTATTTCCAGGAGAGAGAGAGAGAGAGAGAGAGAGAGAGAGAGAGAGAGAGAGAGAGAGAGAGAGAGAGTGTGTCTTTATTGCAAGTGCTAAGAGGTCTCTCTCGTAGAGAGGGAACTGCCTAATATACAGGCTTACAGCACAGTGGAAAAACCCCAGGTGGAAGAGATCGTGTTTTCTTCCTGCTAGATATTGATGTCAATGGGGCAAGACCAGGACAGTAAGCCAGGACTAGAAAACAGGATGCACTTGGACTGGAAAACAGGATGCACTTATAGGCTGACCAGCAACTCACAAAGACCCCGTGGGGCTGGGGTCCAACACAGCTGAGCTGCAGGACTCAACAATTCTTAAGAACAGGGACTGGGGATGTCGCTCAGTTGTGGAGTACTAAGACCCTGGAGCCAGTTCCAAGTGTAGAGGGCAGAAGAGTGGGCTGTTGATGTGCACGCTCATTTGTCTGTTTCCATAGACTCACAAATCACCGTCTAAAGTTTAGAAATTGTTATTAAGCATAATAACTGTCATTGTGTCCACAGAATCTCAGAGAACAGCTGTTTGATATTGTAAAATATACATTTGGTCTTAACTTAAAGTCATAGGACTCAATATGCTCATGAAATGACTGGGGCTAAAAACTAGTAGATAACTTCAAGGTTAGGTCTGGCTACCAAAGACAGACACAGTAATGATACTGATACTTTGCCACCCTCAACCACCATCCAATGGGAAGCAAAGGCTAAGAGCTGAGTAGGCCACCAAAAGCCAGGGATATGAT